GTAGCTAGTAAAAAAGTAAACAAGTAGTAGTTGGAAGATGATATTAAATTGAAAAGGTGCGATAGTTAAAGTCAAGTCAAGTCAATGATCCTTCTTCTCCTTCCTTTTCTATTGACAGTTCACTTGGGAAAAGTCGTAGGAACGTGTTTGATCCATCCAACCTTTCGTTTGCTCCTTGACATGGGAGAATGGGAAAAGTCGTAGGAACGTGTTTCATCGGTCCAACCTTTCTTTTGCTCCTTAACCCTGAATCAAGGAATTATAAATAAATAAAAAACCCAATTATGGAATGTCTTAATATCGGATTTTAGCTAATTATTAGACACGCATCACGTGTCCTTACTTGATCTGATTGGTTATGTGCCCGTGCCTGATGGGTGAAGATGATCCGTTGGTCTTGAAAATCGGGGGGAGGGTGTTTAGTGTTTTACTTTACAAAAGCAAAAGTAGAGAAAAAGGCCATAAAAAAAAGGTGCTGTTCACACGTGAGAAGGCGGACTTAGGCGCATCGCATCAAAGTGCACAGCAAACCAACTTTTCCTCCCACGCTAACCAAATTTCCTGCATGTATAGCCCCATTCAATTGTAATTCGATTTGGAAAAATTGTCCAAAAAACCCTAAACCTATTGTACGGCGGCCAATTCAGTCCTAAACATTTTAAAAAGTTGTCAATTCAGTCCTAAATCTTTCAATCGTGCCAATTTAGTCCTAAACCTATTGACTATTTGTTAATTTAATTCTAAACCTTTTAGCGAATTGCTAATTTAGTCATCTCGGCTAATTTTGGCTGGAAATTATTGACGTTGCGGTCCAGTCGGCGCCGGTCATCCTACATGGCGCTGACAAGGATAATTTTCAAATTTTTTAAAAAAATTGAATTAAATTGAATTGATAATTTAATCATTCCGATTAATTTTGGCCGAAAATCACTGACACGGCGGTCCAGTTGGTGCCAGCCGTCCTATGCGGCGTAGATGTGGATAATTTTCTATTTTTTAAAAAAAAATCAAATTTTTTATTGATTTTTATTGATTATTTTACTTTTATTCTTTTCTTTTCTTTTCCTTCTTCTTTTTTTTTCCCGTTCTTCTTCTTCGTTGAGCTCGCCGGCTGAGGGCCGACAAGGGCTCTTGATGCCCTCGCTGACAATAGCGAGGGCTTGCAAGCCTTCACTAAATCCGGCAAGTGCCGCGACACCTTCGCCAGATCTGTTGAGGGCTAGTGAGTCCTCGCTGTGGCTGGTGAGGGCGTCGTGAGCTGTCGCCCGCCCTCACTGTAGCCTACGATGGCTTGGGTGAGGGCCGCGACACCCTCGCCTCGCCAGATCTAGCGAAGGCGTCGTGGCCCTCGCCGGATTTGGTGAAGGCTCACAAGCTCTTGCTACGATCGGCACCATGTAGGACGACTAGCGCCGACTGGATCGCAACGTCAACGATTTCTAGCCAAAATTAACCGAAAGGACTAAATCAGCAATTCGCTAAAAAGTTTAGGACTAAATTACAAATAGTCAATAGGTTTAGGACTAAATTGTCACGATTGAAAGGTTTAGGATTGAATTGGCCGCTGTACAATAGGTTTAGGACTTCTTGGACAATTTTCCCAATTCGATTTGCTTCCTTTATTTAACTCCTAACTTTAATACACGCAAAAAAACATTACAAATATTTTTAGGGTTGTCAAATCTTTTTGGTGTGATGTAACTAAAAAGAATTTATTTTTTTAAGCAATCACCTAAGACCAATTAAAACTAGACAAACAAAAAATGAACATTAACCATCCTGGGATTGAGACTGTAATTAGAAAATCATTCAGATTCTTGTCGCGCGACGTAATCCTTATCCAGGGGAAATCAAACAAGAATGGCACGAGAAGGCAATGTGATTGGGTGACATGGGACAAAGAGGGACATGAGGAATTACTTCGTGTTCTTTGTACTAAATATGCATTATTTAAGCAAAGCCTTCATCAACAAATTTAAATTTTATATTGGATCAGATTCCTGCGACTCGTTATATAGAGTTGTCCAAATCACCCCTGGACAGTAGAATTTGTTAGAGAAATACTAATTAAATGTAATAGGCTAAAATTTTGTTGGTGTGTTCGTAGTAATCAAATAGTATGCTAAAAAAAATTGAGGATAGAAAGAATACGTAGGTGATGAAAATAGAATAGTGAAAAATGCAAAAGTTCACGTACGAATAAGGTATGTCAGTTCCAATTAATTACATTCTGAGCAGAAGGGGTTTAATTAGAAAGAGCTATACAAATTCAATGACTTGATGAGACAAACTAAAAGTTGAGAGGATTTGATCGGAAAAAAATGCTCAAATTTAGCGATCAAAAGTGGTTTTATCATTTCAAAAAAGCATACAGGGGATATGAAACAAGTTGACTTTGAACAATAAACAATTGCATGTAAATGTATATTTTTGAAGCGTGATTACAGGGACAAACCAAGTTAATCAAAGGAAGGATCACACTACTTTGCCAATAACATGCATGAGCACGAACTCGAAGGAGAGAGGATCGAGTTATGTATGCGACTAGCTCTGAGACTAAAGAAACAACTGTGAAGAGAGTCGCGCACAGGATAACAGAACATTGACAGAATGTACTGTCAAGCTCTACCTGAAAATTTCCCAACAGATTGGTAAAAGTCCTGCTGAGCACATTGATGAAATTGCAAACATGATCTCCAAATTTTTTCGACAATCATAGCGGGATAAGAAAATATTCATTTACAGAGCCATTGTTGAGAATGCACAATAACCACATCAAGCAGCCAGAGTCACCACAGAGAAAAAGACTGCCCACTGAAACGGGGATGATCAGATCCAGCTTTTGCTTTATGCCAAGAGTATACCACATCTAGGAGCCAGAGTCAAATCTCAGATTGGAGCAAGCACAACTTCTAACAGAATTAGAGGAAACTACAATATCAATAAAAAATGACTCGCTGAAAGTGTGCGACAATTATCATTAATGCAGAAATGCAAGTTGATGCACGGACAGCTGCCCAAGCAAAAACAACAATTTGTTTATAAGCAATACCGCCCATTCAGAGGGAGAGCCGTCATTGCACCTGAAAGGGAAACTTGTCCAGGAAATCTAACGAGATAGCAGCACATTCACACGGAGAAGACAGAGACCAGTGATCTTCCACTGAAGATAAGAGACAGGAGATTGCTAGGAAGAGGACAATGCAAATCAAATTGCCATGCTCACCAAAGCTTCCAAAGGATCTCCACGTTATACTGAGAAAGGAACTCCTCCATCAGTACAATGAGTGGAAGGTGAGATGGAATTTTACCGAGTTGATTGCATATACGATTAGCTTCTTGAGGCCAAAAGGTCTTTTCAGAATTTTTAAGACTAAAACCACGTCCTATGACATGAGAGTAATGGGACCATGTATCAAAAACACCACAAACAGCCAAGAATCCTGGCAAAAGCTTAGCAGTTCGATATTTACCAATGCTTATTGAAACTTATCGGCCCAAAATGGATCCCGATTTTTGGGAACGGAACAATAGCATTGTGAAAGATCGATATAATTTTAATGAAAATTTTCTGGGGAAATTTAGAATGCTTATCGAAGCATTGGGACAAAAAATTGAATTACATGAATGTATTTGTGCATTGAGAAACATGAAGTTACGCGAAATTTGAATTCCTAATACGCTGAGCCGTATCCATAGTAAAACACAAATATCTCTTTGAAGAGAGTTCACGGTCTCAGAAACATCTAACCATACATAACAAGTCCCCGACGTTGTCTAAGGTGTCAAAATTAACTTCCTTGCTTTACTTTGTATACATGTAACCATATATATAGTGTTATGTATCTACATATATTTTCAATATAGTAACATCATCTGTGTTTCTTCATCATCCAATTGGTGATTATCTCCTTCCCAGTTTCAGGTCTACACAGTCTAATTAATACTCTTTATAACATACAGATCCTATATACAAAAGTACATTAATCCTTATTGCCATACTAATTAATCCTGACTCATGTATTGATACACTAATTCTTGTTAGTTGACCGGTCTGCAGAAACAGAGATCCGGGCTTCACCGAGTCCTGCAAAAACTGAGTAATGGAATTGCTTGGGTCTGTAAGATCTGGCTATTCAAATCCAAGATTGGATTGAGCAGTTGAAGGAATTGACTCCACTGATATGAGCAAAGATATCAGATGAATCCGTCATGTCATCTTCTTTCACAACCACCTGAAACAAAAGCCAAGGATGTGTTATATATATTTCGAATAGGATATGATCAGGTCAGGATATTTATCAGGTTTGTGATGATTATTTATTTGTTCTCGTCTTCCTCAAAGATATCACGATTCGCAAGGCATCGCTTGATCTCGGAAAGTTTCTATAGAACCACAGATTGCCAGGAAAATTATTCTCACTTCATCCTTTTCATCATCCTCAAGATGGCCACAAGCAAGCCTAGAGTTTTCCCCGAATTCCTCATTCTTTGCGAATCTCCCTCTCACTCGTGGACAGCTGTCTGCCAAAGTTTTGCGGCATGCATACTGCAGATACTAGGAAAATTTCTTCACCTAAAGTTAATCTCCTACAAAAGGTAAACTAATGCATGAATAATGTGAGAGAAGACGAGAATGAAGACCTTAATCTTCTTGCTGAAGTTCCTTTCGTTCCTCTTCTTCATGTACCGATAGATCTTCTCCTTCCTCTGCTCAACCGAGAGCTTTCTTACTTTGTAAGTTGAGTTTCCTAAGTTTGAAATATCTGTTGCGAAAGGTGCAGAACTCGAATTCCCATTCATCAGCTTTTGGCTCTCAGCACAAAATGCCTTGCACGGTATCAAATTGGCAAGAAGCCATGAGAATTTGTTCTAATCCACCACGAATGCTACAAGAGCACATAAGATCTAATGCCATGAGCGTACCAACTGCATTAAACTTTAAACTTCATATTCAAAATGAAGTATAACGTGCTGTAAAATCTTGTCAATACCTGCATGTCCTCAGGAATAAGCACCTGGGTCGGATCTGAGCAAAAGATTCCACCGTTATTGTCAGCCTGGTAATCCAAATCTCGAGTTTGCAATTCTGCTTTTATCAGAACACTTCCTGAGAAGATCCCCGAGCTATCTGAAGATAATGTGCCAGTCATATTCCCCGGCATGTACGTCATCGGGCCAATGAAGGAGCACGAAGGCGACGCAGGGCCCAAAGGAATTTATGGAGGCACAGAGGACAAGCAATCATGTTTGAACACTGAGGCAATCAATGGAGGGCCAATTAACGGCGACATAGTTTCGCAAGTACAATTTGGTAGCCTGTCAGTGCTATTGGTCAGTGGAAGTTGGTTTTCTGTCAGCTGCACTGAAGGGAAATCCATCATCAGGTGGTCTTGTTGAGGACAGACGAATGGGGAAACCAAAAACGGAGGGGAGGGAGAGAAATCAATCGAAGCAGAAATGTCATTATTGATATCTTCTTGCAGACCAAAGATTGCTGTCTGATTTCCATTATAGTTAATAGTGGCGGCGGTCGTGGTGTTACTTGTAATCGTGGTTGGAGTCGTGGCCATCGTGTTAGTATTGATTCCATAGTCTTCCTGCAGGAGATCGCCAAAGTTTTGCGAATCTTCAGGTAAAGAAAATTTGGAGGAATCAGGGAAATCTTCATAGCAGCAGTTTGAACACGATGTGATCTCAGAGTTCTGTATACTTTCCGAAAATAATTCGGGGTCGCAAAGTTCTAACAGTTGAGCACTTAACGGGCTCGACATATCATCCTGCAGAACAACAGATGCAACTCCATGTCTGAACAACAAGAATTTGTCGAACGAAGACTGAAAAGAAACCAGAACTTATGACCGAAAAGAGAACAGAACAACGGAAGAAAGCTTCATGCCTTGCAATCAAAATCCTGCCTCTTTCTTTTGCAGAGAAAATTGCATGATTAATGAAACGCAATGCGCGCATGCATCGTATGTATGTACAGAAAAGAATAAGGAACAGAGACGGATTCGGAGCGAAAGAGAATAATTTTACAGTTGGAAGCTGTTGAGGCGGATGCAGCACGTCGTCCAACATCCTGTCCTCGGATATCGGCAGATGATTAAAGAACCCAATGAAGAAACTTGGCAAGATTTCGATGAACAGACCCTTTCTTCAAATGGCACTGAAAGAAGAAGAAGAAGAAGAAGAAGAAGACACGATCACATGCTCCTCATGATCACCACCTTTCGTGGGCTCCAGACGATGCTCACTGAACCCCATTAATAAAGGAGAAAGCTCCATCGAAGACGATCTGAACGAAGTGTATGTGTCTCTGTATGTGTGTATGTGTGAGAGGGAGAGAGAGAGAGAGCAAGTTAATTTTAGCTAGCTGAGGAAGAGGAAGGCATGGGGTGTCAAAAGTCTGCTGGTTTTGCACATAAATATATACAGCGTTTTAGGCGAGGGTGTTCGGGTCCGTACGGAGCTGTCAGCTGGGCACTCGGGGGTTGTGTCAGCCCCGAAAGCGAAGGTGAGCCACACCTTGGTTCCCCGCTGACGTGGCGAGCGAGGTGAGGAGGGCTGTCGGACACGCGTCTCGCCTGTCGGTGACGTGGCCCGGCCCATCGCAGCGCTCAGCTCTTGGATAGAAACTGGGTTGACCGAGCCCTGCGCCACCACCCCAATTCCTAGCCGACTTTTTCCGACCCCCGATCCTAGCCGACTTTTGGTTTTTTTTTTCCATTGCCAAGTTTCCACCCATCTCTCTCTCTCTCAATAGCTACAAAAAAGACTAGCACGGGCCAATTAATCATAATTATTAGATGATTGACTTGGATGCAGCAAGTTTTGTGTTTTGATTGCATGGAAGTAACGAGACCAGCCGATGATAGACCTTAAAAAGTGCTTCGGATGTATACTATGTTCATCGGCATTGGAAAAAATGTGTTCAACATGTATGGTTTTTCTTTTAAATAATCGAAACCCCCATGAAATTTGGCATCTGCGTGCAATTGTCCTCGAACTATGAAAAGTCATTAATAACCCCTCGAACTTTGGCACAATTGCGCCATAGACCCCGAACTTTTTTGATTTTTTTGTAGAATCACTAATTTTCCATCTATATGGCCATTAAGTGTTATTTGAAAATGGACTTGCCCGGTTTCTCACCCAAATATCCCTTGTAAATGGTTAATGAAGCTAAGATAATAGAGAGGATGCGTGATTGACAAAGTTAAGAAAATTTCGTTGAGGTTGGTTTGGTCAAAAAAATGAGTTGGTCCATTTTCAGGTAATATCACAAACGGAAAAACTAGTAACTGACAACAAAATCAAAGTTCAAAAGAGTAACAGGTAACTTTTTGAAGTTCGAGGCTATTGCGCAACTGTGCCCAAGTTTAGGTGAATAACCAATAACTTTTCCAAATTCGGGGGCAATAATGCAACTGTACCAAAGTTTTGGGGGTTTTGAGCAAATATCCTTTTTTATGGAATGTTCTCTTAAGTGATTCATTATTGATCACCTTGTATGATTACTCGAAGTACTTGTGGGAGTTAAGCCCATGTAGAACGGATCGGGATGTTGTATAACCTCATCATACAAACTTAAATTGAGTATATTGTTTTTCCCCTGGAACCATAAGCTATCTAAAAGAAGGGCAATAATATACAAATAATATATCTCAAGGGTACGTTTGTTTCACGGAAAACGTAACGTTTCTGGAAAATATTTTTTTTGGAAAATGTTTTCCTAGAATTCATTTTCCAAGAAAATGGTTAATTTTCCTTTGTTTGGTAATTTTGATCGAAAAAATTTTATGGTGTTTGGATCTCATTTGGAAAATGATTTCAATCTCATAACTTTATCTTAGGCAAAAAAAAATCAAATTTTTAACTAGTTTTTCAATTTTTCTTTTTTCTTTTTCTTTTTCGTTCTTCCTCCCTCCGCTGGTCGCCGGGCCTCGGCAACGGCCGGTGAGGGCTGACCTAACCAACCTTGGGCGAGGCTGGCGAGCTCAAGCCTTGCCAAATTTTGGAGAGAGTCGAGCTCACCGAGGCTCGCCGGGATCTAGCGAGCTTGACCTCAGATCCCAGCGAGCCTTGGCCTCGCCTGAGGCGGCCCATGCCAGCGGGCGACCGGCAGAGGGAGGAAGAAGGAAAAAGACAAAAGAAAAAAAGAAAGAAAATTAAAAATTTTAAAAAAGAAAGAAAAGAAAAAAATAATATTAACAAATTCAAAATAAGAAATTCTGGAAAAAAATTTCACCTTTTTAAATTAGAGAATTCATTTTCCTAAATTTATATATGAATATTTTCCTTGATCGGAAAGTATTTTCGGTTGACTAATCATTTTCGGCGAACCAAACGGATGAAAGTTCGGAAAATGAACTCCCGGAAAATACTTTTCCTCAAACAAACACACCCCAAAAATATTAAAATCTCATCAACTGTGTAGTGATTTTTATTATCAATAGTATTAAAAAGATGGGGAAAAATATTGTCTGACTATCCTCTCAGCATGGAAGTTTTGGCAGGCTAATATCTCGGGGGCAAGAATCAACGGATCTTAAGGCCATCTTAAACACTTTTTCTAGAAAGGAGCAATTTGGCCTCTTGCTTGAATCACATGTGAGTGCTCATTTGTAGTACATTAAAAGTGCGATTAGGAACACGATGCCTTCAAAAATTTACCGAGACCGATACGAATATGTCACATCTAACTTGAAATTAATGGACTCAACACAATTGCTCCCCTTTTACATAACAAATTTCTCACGATATCGACCAGAATGAAATTTATTCTAGTAAAGACACGGCACGACCATGAACTTATGCCATGTTCATATATTTGATTTCTAGCCTTATTCCAATCACATGAAGTTCTGTGCTTTGGATAAATGCTCCCGTGCTGCTGCTTCTTTCCTTTGTTGGGTGAAGGAAAAGTGAGGAGGGCGCAAATAGGAGGACAGCAAGTGGCAAAGTGTGTTCAATCGAAGCACAAATTATATGTCGCGCCAAATTTCCATATATTCCCATCGCAGCACAAAAGAGAGACCCAGTGCATGAGTACCCTCGAGAGACGAAAAAGGAAACCTACAAGCATTTTGGGGCTCTTTGAATCAATTTTGTTTTCCTTTATCTCCCAAACTCCAGTTAGACATATGAACATGGTGTTGTTCCTCTTTTTGTCTTTGCCATATATACATGCTTGGAATCAATCTTTGTTCGACCGTGCCGTGCCCGTGTTCGGGTTGTTCTATTAAGAGGAGTCGAAACATTAGGAATCAAGTCGAACATTTCAAGAGAGTGAATTATAATATCAGTGGAATGAAGAGTGATATGCATAAGTTACGATAATTCGATAGAGGAAATTTATGTGTTTAGATTACAAATTGTTCCTTTTAAATCATAAATAAGTTGAAGAGGGGAGTGGGGCCATTGAAAATCCACATGAAGAATTGCGATTAATTAGAAGGGGAGTGAAAAAGAAAAAGAAATATGAAATGAATTTCTTAACACTATCTTAAAGGAATAACCACAATCAATCCAATTTAAATTTCTAATTCCAAAAAAAATAACACCAAATTTACCTTGAGTGACAATTCTGACTTGAACTTTTTTTTGTTTCAATAAAAATCACTTACATTCACTCAAGTCCCAAATCTAGCCCGAACAATTTGAAAATTTCACATCACGAAGGCCAGATTTGGGATTTAAGTGAAAATTTGTGATTTTTTATCAGACAAAAAAAAGTTCAGGCCCAAATTGCCTCTCAAGATAAATTTGGTACTTTTTTTTTAATTAACCCAAATATTATTTGGTGAAAAAGGGCGTATGTATTTAGGGCCTTCTCACGCTTCATATTCAAGCTATGTAAGAGGAGAAGGTCTTTTCAAATCAAGACCTAGAGATGCTATAAACCCAAAATTGGATTAAGTCATCCTGGCGTGCAAATCAAGTGTATATATGTTTTGATCTCTCGAGAAATAGTTATTCTTCTTTATTTGCTCAAGTGCTAATACGGGCTACTAAAAGAAAAGTACCAGATAAAGCATATTAGTCCGTGTCGGCTACTCAATAATTGGACGAGTCTCCGCAATGACATGTCACGATATCATTCAGGTTCGGTGAGCTTGTCATGTCGGTCTGTCAGATATTGCCATCTCAACGGTGCGCGACAAGCCCAACAACGTCCAGTGCTCGTGTCTTACTAAAGATGGCTCATATCTCTCCACCTACCTCTCCCCTTCGGACAAAATGATGCTGATGCTGTTCAGACCAAAATCGTCCCGCGATTGAATCTCGATTCCTCGTGCTGGTGTTGCATTTTGCCTTTAGGGAGAAAGCTTCCTTTTTGCCAGATTGGGAAAGTTCCGCAGCACGAAGGGCGGTTTCCATGTTTGATGAAATTCCTAGGAGAGCGAAAAGGCACGATGCGCTTTCCTGGAATCTGAAGATTTTTTTCGTGTCTTGACACTGTCGAGGTCTTTCCTAGGAAAGAGGGAACATATTCATGGCAGAGAGGAAACGCAACTGTGTAAAGCGTGTACGGAGACCCACGATTCCCATGATCGCATTTGTGCCAAGAATATTTGGACTAAATCAATAAAGATCGGATGATCATGGAGAGATTGAAAGAGAGAGAGATAGATTTGACAGGAATGATGGATGGAATGATCGAACAGAGAGAGACTTGACAGGGATGATGGACGCAGGGGCTTATGCACGGTTGGCCCGGACCCCGTTTTTACCAAAACGAAATGAAAAAGAAAAGATTGAACTAATTCTATTTCCAAATATTAGATATAGTAACAACTTAATTGAGGAATACTAATGAAAGTACTCGTTCAATTGAACCAAATTTAAGTTCGAGGATATCTCCAGATAATTTTAAAAAAAATTTACGAAGAGGTGCCCTAATAATAATTACGCACAAATTACACCCACAGAGAATGTCTAATAAATATTTGATTTGTTCGGTTCCGTATCCTTCGTCATGATTTGGATGATATAGTTTCGTGTTGTCCTCTTGATCATGGCACTTTCTTATGGAGTCAATTGTTGCAATAACCTATCATGCCTTCCAATTGCCAGTTTTGAACTTTTTGCAAACAAGTTATACCTATTGTCGTATGAGATCTATTGGCTGGTACTAAACATGGGCTCAGATGGTACCGAAGATGTTGGTGGGGTCAGTTTGTCACAAGCCACGGTCGAAAGAATCAAAAGGCTGGTGGCTCTCCTCTTTCACTATTCAAGATGCTGACTTTGTCTTCGCCAACTCTATGAATGAATTTGGAGTAATCTGATCCTAAGTACTTCTCCAACTATTTGGCAGATGAAGGCGAGACCTAGTGAAAGGCTATG